GTGTTCTTCACAATGCTTGCCCATGTATCCTCTTGGAGAGAGGTTTATTCTTTCAGGATACTTTTAATGTTGTCTGCCACTGGGGAGAGCTCTCACCATTTTGGGTTGCTCGCAGGACAGATGTCAGATACCACACTCCATGTTAGAGAATCAAGGCAGTACTTTATTCTGGCCTGGAGGTGCAACAGAAATAATTTCATCCACACATTGTGTGGGTTGTGCAGAGAAAATCCTTCCATCACACAAAGTTTTCACTGAAGTGTTCTTGTACTTACACATTCACAGCCCAGGGAAATTCATTGGTTCAATGACCATTGGTCCCAAGTTCCACAGTTAGTAGTATTTGCTTTCCAGCTGATCACTTCACCTTCAATGTTATTTTGTTTCTCATTCTTTATTCCCTTTTAGATCTTTTCCCAGACCACGTGTCTCTGACCATGCCAGGGCTGATGTTTGGAGGTGATTTTCATTATTGGTAATTATCTTTGTGTATCTTCTGTCTCTGTGCAGTTGCAGGAGACAGAAGAAGTCCTGCATTGTTTTGGTTTTACTGTATGAAAGACGTTCAGGACTACAAATAAAATGGCACAAAATATAAAACATATTTAGTAAAAAACCTCACAACACACCCCACCTTTAACTTTTTCTAGGTTTTAGAAAGGCTGTTCCAGCTTGTGCTGCAACAGGTTTGCTGCTATAGGCTAAAATATTCAGTCACAAGGAAATTCACATTTTGAACAAATAGATTGTGTCTTCAGTCTTCTCCCCAAAAAAGAATCTGAAAGGAATTAAATAGTTGAAACCATTTCTTTTCACTGCTTTGAAACATCTTTCAGCTCTCCCTGCTGAAATCCCAAATGTCTTTCTTATTTCTCCTGGCTGCCCAGGGCAGTGCTGTTCAGAAGGAGAACACAAAGCCCACAGGCCACTGTCTCCAGAAGTAAGTGACAGCTGTGCCACCAAACTGTACCTGGCTGTGCTGTTATCACGCGGTTGTCGAATTTGGCCGTGCAGGTCACCTCCATGTCTTTTGTCACCCTGGCCACTTTAATTGCATTGTACAACCCCTCGGATGTCAAAATGGATGTGCTCTGTTCATAGACGACCTCCTGAGAGGGCATCTCCAAGCTGATGTTCTTTGTCAGGGAGTTCCTTGCCAAACAAGCTGCTTTGCCAGTGCTGTTGCCTTCTTCCAGTTTCTTTGATTTCATCACAATCACTTGAGGGTCAGAAGATTTTGAAATGTCTGTAAAGAAAAGCAAGGTTTGGACAGGATTGATTTTACTGCAGCCTTGCCTGTCAGCTGAGTGACCAAAAACTCACATGTACTCCATCTGTGACTACTTTGTAACATTATTGATTTCATCACAATCACTTGAGGGTCAGAAGATTTTGAAATGTCTGTAAAGAAAAGCAAGGTTTGGACAGGATTGATTTTACTGCAGCCTTGCCTGTCAGCTGAGTGACCAAAAACTCACATGTACTCCATCTGTGACTACTTTGTAACATTAACGATCACTTTTTGTGGTCTTTGTTTCTTTCTGCTTCTTCCAAAAGGTGAAATTAAAGACAGAAATGGGTATGCGGGCATATTTAATAGGACATTTAATCCCATAGGATACCAACTTCCTTTTGCCAAAGCTTGTGCTTGTAAATGAACCCTTGATTCAATAATGGACCTACAAACAAGAAGGGAAGTTTTACGAATGCCACTCCAAGAGTCCACTTGTTCTGCTTTCTCAGCAATTTAATTCCAAAACAGAACAATTCTATCTGGATTGCCTTGCATATTCATAAGACATAAATGAATACTGTTTTTTATTTTACTCTCCCTCCCAGACACCCAACAGAAATTGAACACGTTAACTTGGTTTGACCAGTTCAGTTGAATCCAAACTCTGAGCAACTTAGTAAGATTAAACTAGTACAGAAATGTGTCACAAGATTATATTTAATGCTTTTGTAGATTGCCCTTCTCTGCTATCAGTGTTGTATTTTAACTCTGACACAACAGATAGTCCTAGGAACTTGTATGCCAACTTGCACAGACACTTTATTTCCCTTTAGGCAGTCCAAGTGTGACTTTAAAAACCAACAATGACTATGAAAATCTTATTAAGAATCCTGAATAAGTGGATAGATATATGTCCCAAAGAAATTCAGAATGATAGCAGACAGAACATCCCTTGTGAAGTTCAAGTTCTTTGGCAACACTGAGAAGTGGGATAAGAATATTTTTACATATAAATTGTCTAGTTGCATGCAAAAGATTACGCATAGAAAGTGAAATTAGTGACTGAAAAGCATGAGTGTCTGCATAAATTTTAGGGGGAATATTTGCAAAGGGGGGAAATGAAAGAGTAGCAAGTCAGAAAATGATAATGCATAAAAGGTACCTACTTGGCTCCACGGCCAGTTGAGTTCCATTCCCAAAAACAAGAGCAGCAGTAACACACAGTTAAAATGCATAAATCAAAAAGGGCTCATTTTGCTGTTCTTCCTCTGCACATTTCCTTCCCAGCTGTTGTACCAGGCTTGGCCAGAGCCTGTCAGTGCATTCTGTGTTCTCTGAGAAAACCTTGAAAGGCTTTTCATGTGGTCTCCTCTCCAGGCTTTCCAAACAGCCAGAATACAAAGAGGCTGCTTCTCTGCAATAGCTCCCTGGGCAAGATCTTCAGCAAGCAATAATGTACCCAGTGCAATTGTAGTTCAGAGAGCAGAAGATTTGTTTTATCTGACCCCAGAAGGCTCACCCTGAGTCCCACTAGTTTGCATTACTTGACAGTACAGCCATGAATTCCTACCACTGGTTTCTTCTGGGAAGGGATTTGTGTTTTATGTTCTGAAAATTTATTTGAACAAAAAATTGTACTTCTCCTTCACTTTCATCTTACAAAGTCACAGGAGGAGCCCTATATTCCAGAAAGTAATGGGCCTTAGCATTTTTAATGAATGTTTAATCTGGAATAATCCAACCTGAACCAAAAGAAAAGCCTTCTCTGTCCTTAACTGAGGCCTCAACAGAATATGCCTGGAGTGTCCCCCTGTGGCACTAATGCTTGCTATCTTATGTGATTTTGATTATGGCGAATTCTCAAAAGATTTGGATAATAAAGTACTTGTACTGTGAACACCTTAAAATGCATTTTAGTAGCTCCCAAAGCAATTCAAAATTAAAAGTAGGAGGTTGCTCACATCCTGGAAACTTTGGATTCAACTTATTGAGTATTCCAGCAGTCTCAAAAGGGACTTTGATACTTAGGGCCCAACATGTTTTACTGTCAAACATAATACCAGAATCGCTGTGCAGCTCTGAATATATCCTGTATTTATCCAGAAAAAGAAAATCGTTGAACACCATGGACAGAAGAGGTCTTTCTTCAGAGTGATAAGTTCGCTTGGGGTGACATGCATCTTTATTGTCCATCATGGAATTCCAAAGAAAGATAGGAATAACTAAGGCTTCTTATAATCCCTACTCCCCACATTGCTCTTTTAAAGTTCCACACAACTTGGCAGCCAATTGTCTTTCATTCCAGGAGCTCTTGGATATGAGGCACTTGTGAGAATTTAAGCCCAAGGCTATTTCACCTCCTTCCTGCTCTGTCCCCAGGGCAGTGGAATTCCTTACCTGAGGACACTGTCAGTGTGGTGCTGGTGTCAAACCAGAACTTCTCCAAGCAGGCTGTTACAGATCTGTCTCAAAACTCCTCACCACTGGGAGCTCTTCACTGAGCTCTGCATTCCTGCCCCAAGTCAGCCAGTGCCAATCCACTGGAGAATTGGACACTGGACAGTAAATTTGGGCCAGAGTGCTGCCCAAAGTGGGAATAAGTTATCACAGGCTAAGCAGTGCCCTGCTGGTGTTTGGGGATCATGGAATAATGGTGCTATGCAGAGTCAGCCCAGTTGTTCCTGGGAAACCTTCCTGAGCAGATCCAAGCTGAGGGTTTGGGTTGAAAGCCTGGCTGATGAGCAAGTGCATTCAAGGGATTATTACAGCTGAAAATTTTTTCAGTGAACCCAAACCATTAAATTCCCTTGTTCTCCCCCACATTAATTTTAAATGAAGTTTTAGAAGTAAATAAATGTCACTTACTTGGTACAACTGTGAGTGTTGTCCCTGGTCCAGTTGTCGTCGTCACACTGCTAAGACTTATTCCAATAACTCACTCTTTCATGGTGGTCAAACTTGTTGTAAATCTAGAGATAGATCACTAGATAGTTGGCCTAATTATTCATGGGTGCAAGTCCATGAGGGGATCCAGAAGTACATTTACTTTGTAAACTGGAAAGGGAAAAAAGTTATTTGATTATTTCAGTGTTTTCAGTCACCTTGATTGAGTACAGAATTATCAACTTCCCCTTTCTTCCAGCTTTTAGAACCTTCATGAGCTCTTTTATGTATCCAGGATTAAAGGGACTATATAAAGGATGTTCTACTTCTCTTCTTAAACATTACAGTCACCCTTCTCCTTTCTTTCCCCAAACATCTAATTTATGCCCAAGGCTATTTCACCTCCTTCCTGCTCTGTCCCCAGGGCAGTGGAATTCCTTACCTGAGGACACTGTCAGTGTGGTGCTGGTGTCAAACCAGAACTTCTCCAAGCAGGCTGTTACAGATCTGTCTCAAAACTCCTCACCACTGGGAGCTCTTCACTGAGCTCTGCATTCCTGCCCCAAGTCAGCCAGTGCCAATCCACTGGAGAATTGGACACTGGACAGTAAATTTGGGCCAGAGTGCTGCCCAAAGTGGGAATAAGTTATCACAGGCTAAGCAGTGCCCTGCTGGTGTTTGGGGATCATGGAATAATGGTGCTATGCAGAGTCAGCCCAGTTGTTCCTGGGAAACCTTCCTGAGCAGATCCAAGCTGAGCGTTTGGGTTGAGCGCCTGGCTGGAGGGGGAGTGTATTCAAGGGATTATTGCAGCTGAAAATCCTTTCAGTGAACCCAAACCATTAAACTTCTTTGTTCACCTACACCTCAATTTTAAATGGAGTTTTAGAAATAGAGAAATGTCACTTACTTGGTAGAACTGTGATAGTTGTCCCTGGTCCAAATATAAGCTTAGCTGTCCTCACACTGCTAAGACTTATTCCAATAACTCACTCTTTCCTCATGGTGTTCAAATGTGTTGTAAACCAAGAGACGGAAAGCCAGATATTATTTCTAAATATCCATGGGTGCAAGTCTATGAGATGATCCAGAGGTACACTTACTTCCAAAACTGAAAAAGGATAAAATATTAATTTATTTGTTTAGTGCTTTCAAACAGCTTGATTGAGTGTAGAATTTTCAAGTTCTCCCTTTCTTCCACCTTTTAGAATCCACTTGGACTTTTTATCTTTCCAGGGTAAAAGGCATTATAGAAAGAATGTTCTATTTGTCTCTTTAATGATTATAGTCACCCATCTCCTTTCTTTCCCAAAATATCTCACCTTTTTCCCCTCTTTTTGTTTTTGTACAGGCCCCTATGCTGTTTATATCATTGTGGTACTCCGGCCCCTGTACACAGTGATCTATTTCCTTGTAAAAACTGTCTCTGTTCCACTAGACAGAATATTGGATTATACAGACAGTCACATGACCTCCTCCATGGTTTAAGACCCAACGTACCACATGAAAAAACACCATATGGCTTTCAAGGAAGGATCTAAGATAATATCAGAAAGATTGAGTTGTAAATGAGAACTTGGGGATTACATGACACCTCTGAAAAGTCTGAGGGAGTTAAGCTGGATAAAAAGCAAGAAAAGAGTCAGTACTGTTCATGTTATATCAAAGCATTTCTGATAATTCTTGTCACTTGTTGGAAGTTGTCCCCTTTTCCCCCTTTGTTTCAGGCTAGAAAGCAGGAGGAATGTGCCCTCTGGTCTCTTAGAATTGGTTCCTGGGGTCATTTAGTACCTTAGAAAGTCTTCATGGTGTTTTGCATAAGAGGAGAAAGTAGACAAACTGATTGTTCTTTGTTGTGTAGAGGCACTGAAACCTTGGGAGTGAGGATCAAAGAGTAAAGGAGATGTTGTACATTGATCAAATCCTTCATGATATTCAACTTCTGTATCATAAATCCTTGACAGCCACAGCTGAACCAGCTGTGTTCCCTCCCAAATTTTGTGTACCCTCAGCTACTCACTGGTGGGTGGAACGAGAAGCAGAAGAGGCCTTGACTCCATGTAAGCACTGCTTGGCAATAACTCAAACACCCCTGAATTACCAACACTCTTTCCAGCACAGATTCAAAACACAGTCCCATTCCTGCTACTATGAAGAAAATTAACCCTACTCAAACAAAAACAATCACATTCTTTAAAAAACCAAACAAAACACAAAACAAAAGAAACAACCCCACCCTCTTTCCCTGGTTCTTTCTGCCTGTGGGAGATTTTGAGAAGGAAGGAAGGAGTTAACAACACGTTAATGGTTTGGTGTTTGCTGGTGAGAGACTGCTATTGTTATTGCTGTAGCACCTCTGCATCTGTTTCTGCAAAAGACAGCCCAGATTAGTCTTGAGAAGTCTGGGAAGAGCCTTGCCTTGCAGCAACCACAAAAGATCTGTCTAGATTAAAGCCCCTCCTTCCAATTCTGCCCTGGCCCTGCCTCTGTTTCAAGCACTGTGCCCTTTTCAAGTTCTCTCATGCTGCAGAAATAGGTGGCTGTGTCTGTAGCTGCTGGAGAGAGCAGTTGCAGCCACAGCTGGTTCCGGGAGGGGTCTGCAGAGCTGTTGACTCGGGTCCGGAAGGATGAAGCGATGTGCTGGAGTCCTGTGAAAGGATACTGCATCACCAGATGCTGCAGCTCTTTGCCAGGAGTCTGCCGGATCCAGTCCCATGCGTAGTTGCTATCGGTGATGGCTACACCAGAGATGTGACAAGTGAGCCGGACAGACTCTGAGATCTTCCCTACTGTAGGGCCTGAGGCCTCTGTCTTCACCTGAGAAAGGCCACCTGCAGCCCCAGGAGACAAGGGTAAAAATAAAAAGCAACAGTTAAAGGAATCAATCTGCTCCACCATGTCCCCGTGGTTCTGCTTGTGATGTCGAGGATCCAGCAGCCGCAAATCCATCTGCTCAAAGGCTCTTGCTCCCTGTAGAACCTCAGATCTGGGAGAGACACACACAGCCTTCCCCATCCTCCCACTGAGCTCCCAAATGACTGTCTAGAATTCCCCATTTCCTCTGCTCACCCCTCAGGCAGCAAAACCCATGGGCTGGACGAGTGGACATGAGCTGTGCCCAAAACCACAGCAGGACTATTCACACACCTGACCATTTGGACTGGATACCTGTAATATTGGAAACCAAGGGAAACAGGAAAATTACTTCAAAGCTGAAGCAGTTTGGGGGAGCGAGAAGTGAGTTGGCATGACACATGCCAAGAAGATAAACATAAAGGTAAAGCTCATTTGGGGAGAGCAAAAGGTAGGATGTCCCTATTAGAATCACACATTTGAAAACTCTGTGCTGTGTCTACAGCAACCCAAAACATCTGGGCAACACAGGCCCCTTCCAGCTCCAAGGCAGAGAGCTGGGATGCTGACAGGTGGTTTCTGTTCAACCTCAGCTGGATATTATGTCTCTGTGCGAACAGCACAGAAGTAGCAGGCAGTATCCTCGGCACGGAGGAGATGCAGGCTGAGGGATGCCACAGAGTGGGAATTGTCCCTGGAGGCTGTGGCTCGACCTTCAACTGCTGACCCAAACTGAGTCTGTGATGAGTAATGGCTTATCCAGGACACCCATTCAAAACTACCTCTGGGTGCCTGACGGTACCACCGAATATAATGATTCTCGAAGGTGAGGCCAGAGCCGTGGCAGGAGAGGGTGACGGAGTCCCCGGGCGCTCGCAGCCCTCCGCCGGCCTCCTGCAGCCTCGGCTGTGCCCAGAGCCCTGCGAAGGGAGAGCGCAGCAATCGGGCAGGGCCGACCGCGGACCGAGGGCGCTGTCCCGGTGTCCCTGTGCCTCCCCCGGCCGCCGCACGGTGACAAAACCTCCTGTCCCTATCTGAATCTGCCCATGTCCCCGCTCCTGCTTCCCCCTGTCCCTGCTCCTGCCTGTCGCTGTCCCTCGTTGCCCCGGGCCGGGCTCGCTGCCCTGGCCGCCCGGCTCTCACCTGCCGGCCACAAGGCCAAGGCCAAGGCCAGCAGCCCCGGCCCCGGCGCGGCCACCATCGCTGCCGGCCCCGGCCCCGCTGCAGCCGCACGGGAGCCGAGCGGAGCCGCGCTCGGGCCGCTCCCGCCCGCCATTTCAGTTGTTTTTCACTTGAACAAGGAAACAAGGACACTGAGCACAGAATCATGAAGAGAATTTGTTCTTTTATCCTTCAGCTAAGCACACGGCTGTGCTCTCACCTAGTCTATGGCATATCCTCCAGCAGAGAAAAGCAGGCCAGATCTGATGAGTTACTCTTGCTCACATAATCACAGTGCTTGTCCTGTGCTGGATCTATACACCCTGGTCCCATGCAGGTGGTGGAGACAAGTGGTCAGTGGTGCAGAAAAGTTCATTCTTTGAAACTCAGACGGCATACAAGTGCTGGAATTTATCCAGAATTCTGACTGATTCCCCTACTGTACATAGTTCAGTGTCTGGTTTCATTGCACGTTAAATCATCTACTAATTTTCTCATATTATGGGGTATTCAGAGCTAGGAAGAGCTTCCTGAACGTGGGTAATCAGGAAAAACCAGCCCTGTGGTCAGAGCTCCCAGTCCCAGGCACTGTTCCTTCTTGTAAGCAGGACAATATTGCTGTTATCTCTTGATTTTCACAGCTTTTGTCTCTGAGGACTTCCAGAAATAACTTGTGCTACATGAGTGTTAAGGACAACCCTGTGTCCTCTTCAGGCTGCAAGTTTCAAAGCTGAAAAGGAACAGGGAAACCTGCAAATGATACAAAGGAAATTGGGGGAGGCACACAGAGGAGTGAGGAGAGCTATTCTGCATGCATTTGTTTTCTGTATATCTGTTGTTTCCTGTATTTGGGGTGTGTGTTCTTCTGTCCAAACCTCGAGTGTGTTGTTGCGCTGTAAGGCTGCAGACACAGGTACAGGCTGCCAAGCTCTCTCGTAAAGGCTCTGTGCTCTGTGTGGTCATCAGACCTGATGCTGTTCTTTCTGGAGAGCCAGAACGGGCTTCAGGAAAGGGGAGCAGAAGAGGAGCCAGCTTTGCTGCTCCTCTCTGCCAATGGCAAGTCTGAGCAACATCAGGAATTCTTGATGTTGTTTGGTTTTTGTGTGTTGGTATTGCCATGATTGTTCAACTCTCTTCCTGTCAAAACACACATTTTCTCACTCCAGCCGTTTGTTTATCTCCTCCATAGCAGTGAAGGGGACTGAGTGAGCAGCTGTGTGGGGCTGAGCTGCCTGATGGGGTCAGGGGCAGGAGGTGCCCACAGTCTTGTCCTGTTCAGTTCTGAATATCCTCAAGAATGGAATTTACAGAGTTTCAGGGATTTCAACACAGTGTCAGATGCCCCTCTGCATTTTCTTCTCCATGCTAAACCAACCCAGATCTTCCAGGTTCTTCTTATATATCAGCTGTTCCCTCCCTTGTGTTCCTAGCCCTTCACTGCATTTGTTCCCCTCTGTCCATGTCCTTCCCAGGCTTGGGAGCTCAGCAGGGGACACAGCTGTCCCCAGCCCCAGCAGTGCTGAGCTGAAGAGGATTCCTCCCCAGTGAGCAAGGAGTCAGGTCAACATGCCAGGAGGCTGCACAGAGAAACAAGGCTGGGAGAAGGTGGGCCCACTGCTGAATGGGATGGGGAGCAGGTGACCGAGGATATGGGACATGGCTGGGGTCCTGAATGCTTTGTTCACCTCAGGCTTCAGCAGCCAGATCAGCCTTCAGGAATTTCATTTCCCACAGACCACGAGGACAGGCTGGGAGGAGGAATGTGTACCCGTGCACTACCCATGTCACTGAGCCCTTCTCTAGGCCATAATAAAAGGCTTTGTCCAGAAGGTTTACAGGGAAGTCACTGCTGTGAGCACAACTGAATGAAGAATGCACAACATCCACTCTCTCCTCACCCAGCAAGACCCTTTGTCTCACTGTCGAAGGCTGTAAATGTGGCTCAGCCAAATCTCCACTTCCCAAAGGCACGCTGCCTGTCCCTGAGGAAAAAGGGCTGGGAGCCAAGGCAAGCTACCAAGGAGAAATGAGGCTGTGCTGGACAGGAGCCCAGGAAACGTGCGCTAAACCTGCACTTGCCCAAACTGCAGCCTGTGCAGTTCCCAGGACAGATCCTCCTGCACCATCAATGGTACCAGCCCTTCTAGCAGCCCTCCCTGCAGTGCCTTTTAGTGCCCCCAAGCCAGAGGGATGTTTCCTGCACCTGCCATTGCCCGACAAGAGCCCTGGGGAGCAGCTGCCAGAAAGAAATGCTGAGTGATCTGTCTTCCCCATCTGCTGGTTTTGGTTCATTCAGCTGCAGAGCTGCTCCAGGGTGGTCCTTGCTCCACAGTAATATGTTGCTGCATCGCCTGGCTTTGCTGCCAGGATCTGCAGCGTGGTACTGAAGCTCTCCACTGATCCCACAAAGTGTTCTTGGAAACCTTCTCCATAGATATCACCCTCCATGTAAATAAATTTGAAAGAGCCCCATGGGCCCTGACGGTACCAATACATGTCATAGCCGCTCATAGCACCTCTCTGCAAGCTGCAGTGGAAGGTGACTCCATTTCCCTCTTGCACAGTCACTCCCCTGGGGTTCTGCTCCAAGGCCACCTGGCCAGTGACTGCTGCAGAGAGCAAGAACAAGGCACAGTCACTCCATGATCCAGCAAAGGTCCGGGCAGGGCTGGCTTTGGATTGTAACTGGACCTGTGGGAGGACAAAATCCTCCTCTTTGAAGCCAGCTGACACAGATGGGCAGAGCTCTGGTGCCCTCCTGGGCATTACTCATCCTGTGTGGTGCAGTAACAGACCATTTGTTGGGCAGTAAATGCTGTGGTGAGCTAAAGGTAACATGGTTCTTAAGGGCCAGCCCTGGCCTTTATCTCAGGGAGTCTTGCAGGCTATGCTGGGACTTTGGAGCTGACCAGGGAGGCTGTTGGCTTGTCCTTCACCTGGCCCTGGCTCTGCTGGGCTGCTGCTCCCCCATAGGACACCCCAGGGTCTCAAATCAGCTTGGCCAGAGCACCCCTAAGCCAAAGTGCTCCTCACCCTGCTCCCTGCACTCTGGCCCTGCACCCTGCTGGCTCCCCAGTGATGTCACTTCTCCAGCTGCCTCTTCCCATCAAAGCCCTCCCAGACCCCTGCCCAGCAGCAAAGGCAACCGAGCACTCTGCAGGTGCTTTGCATGTCCCACTTAAGAAGGGGACCAAGGAAGGCTGAGTGGGACTGGAGCCAGGCAGTCACCAGGCTGACTGGACGACAGAAAAACCTTGAACCTCCTCTACAGAGTAGAACATTGCAACTGGGACTCAGGAGAAGGAAAGCCTCAGTGCTGGGAAGGGAGCTCTTGATGAAAGGCCAGGATCCCTGGTGCTGCGTGGGGATGGCACCTGATTTCTTTGGAACAGCCCTGAACCACTTTGGAATTCACCATCTCCAAATTTCGTGGGTGCTGAGCCAGGCCCGAGCTGGTTTGAGTTAAAGCCCAGCTGGGTTTCCTGTCCCCGTGTGAATAGCGCAGAAGTAGCGGGCAGAGTCGCGGGGCTGCAGGGTCAGCAGGGAGAGATAAGCCTCGGACCGGGAATTGTCCCGGGACATCTTGGCCCGCCCCTGCACTGACTGGTCAAAATAAAGAACTGTCGGATCAAAACTAATAACGGACACCCACTGCAGCCGGTCATCGTGTGACTGACGGTACCAATAAACTCCATAATTCCTAAAGATGAATCCGGATCCTTTGCAGGAGAGGGTGACGGAGTCCCCGGGCGCTCGCAGCCCTCCGCCGGCCTCCTGCAGCCTCGGCTGTGCCCAGAGCCCTGCGAAGGGAGAGCGCAGCAATCGGGCACGGCCGACCGCGGACCGAGGGCGCTGTCCCGGTGTCCCGGTGCCCCCGGGCCGGCACAGCCACAGCCGCCAGCCCCGGCCCACGGCCCTGTCCCTGTGTGTGTCCCGGCCTTTGCCCGTGTTCCCTGCCCTGCCCCTGCTCCTGGCCTTTCCCCAGCCTCCGCCCGTATTCCCGTCCCTGTTGGTGCTCCTGTCCCTGCTCCTGCCTGTCGCTGTCCCTGGCCGGGCTCGCTGCCCTGGCCGCCCGGCTCTCACCTGCCGGCCACAAGGCCAAGGCCAAGGCCAGCAGCCCCGGCCCCGGCGCGGCCACCATCGCTGCCGGCCCCGGCCCCGCTGCAGCCGCACGGGAGCCGAGCGGAGCCGCGCTCGGGCCGCTCCCGCCCGGCCCCGCCTCGCCGGGGCAGCGCCGGCGCCTCTGCCCGCCCCGACACACCCGCCCCGGGACCCGGGGCTGCTTGTGGGCAAAGTGTGGAAACGAGTCCCTCCACTCCTACCCCCTTGTCCTACACCTCTTCCCTCCACACCGCAGAGCTCCCCGCTGCACCCCCCAAGCCCTGGATCGTTCTTCCCGCGTCGTGCGACCAAATCTTGCCGGTTTTTCCTGCTGGGCTGTAGGGCTGTCCTGTGGACGACTAGCGCTATGTCTGCTGTGACTTCCACTTGGGGGAAACAGCAGTGCGGCAGTGGGACATGGTGGTAGGGAGATGCTGGGGCTTTACAGACCTGCTTAAGCTCTCAGGAGCAAAGACTCCTTGTCATCCTTCCAAGGGTGGGAAATAATCCCAGAAACATTAGAGTCTGCAAATCAGAACTGCTGTGAATTTGCAACCCCCAACTTTCTCCACATTTTCCTGCCTGTATCCTTGTTGTCCCTGCCTGACTCACCTTCACCCCATGCTATGCTGCAGTCAGAGTCCTGTTACTCCTTTGGCATTCACCTGACTTGTGAACATAAATGCTGAGGGTTGATAAAGAGAAACCAGTCAAATTTCCAGGGTCTCTTTTTCTGTTGCTCTAGCCAGGACACAAGAAGGTGTCCCTCAGGTCCCAGCAGTATGGTGATGCCCAGTGTACTGCAGGTAAGGTTTCCTGGTGGGAAAACTTCTTGTGAGCAACAGGACCACCATGGCTCTGGGAGTTCTCCTCACAGAATAGGCTAAGCTGAGTTCTGCTTGGGCTCTGGGATGCCTAAACCAACTTGCCTTTGAGTTTCCAACTCTACCAAACAGTGAGCCCAATCCAGAGGAAACTCTCATCATGATCATCATCTTCATTTTTGTCTTCAATCAGTTTTCATTATCTGATATCTCAAGGCACCATATTAAATATACAGAATCTCTTGCCTCATGGACTGCAGTGCTGTTGGTTGCTTAGGTATTTCAAAGTTTTAGTAGCTTTTTTCTTCATTTGAATCCGGAGCCGTGGCAGGAGAGGGTGACGGAGTCCCCGGGCGCTCGCAGCCCTCCGCCGGCCTCCTGCAGCCTCGGCTGTGCCCAGAGCCCTGCGAAGGGAGAGCGCAGCAATCGGGCAGGGCCGACCGCGGACCGAGGGCGCTGTCCCGGTGTCCCTGTGCCTCCCCCGGCCGCCGCACGGTGACAAAACCTCCTGTCCCTATCTGAATCTGCCCATGTCCCCGCTCCTGCTTCCCCCTGTCCCTGCTCCTGCCTGTCGCTGTCCCTCGTTGCCCCGGGCCGGGCTCGCTGCCCTGGCCGCCCGGCTCTCACCTGCCGGCCACAAGGCCAAGGCCAAGGCCAGCAGCCCCGGCCCCGGCGCGGCCACCATCGCTGCCGGCCCCGGCCCCGCTGCAGCCGCACGGGAGCCGAGCGGAGCCGCGCTCGGGCCGCTCCCGCCCGGCCCCGCCTCGCCGGGGCAGCGCCGGCGCCTCTGCCCGCCCCGACACACCCGCCCCGGGACCCGGGTGTCGCAGGACAAGGGGCGGACTCCGGAGAACGGAGATCGGCGAGGGACGCTGGCAGCTGCGTAGGCAGAGCAGCAGAGACGCCCAGGAGATGAAGGCTGCTGTCCCGGGGCTAGCAGCGCGCCTCCATCGCTGTCCCTGTTTCTTGCTCTGGGAGCCCTTTCAAAGGTCTTGACGCCTCAGTTCTTTTAAGAAAACCCTGCCAAAATTGCAACAGTATAGAACATCATCAGGGTGGGGATCTGTGCATCTTTTCTGTCCTGAGTAGAGTCCCCCCTGAGGCTGTGACATTGTGGGGTTTCCAGCATCACCCCAAATGTAATATTTCCTACTTCTTATCACCTTTTTCGTGATGTTAATAAAACAATTCTCTATTCTGAGAGATTCATGCAGTACCTTCTAGCTTTAGAGAGATCCAGCGCCCCCTGGGGCAAAACGTCATGCATCAGAGAGGGTCTTCAGGAATTCAAGTAAGGCAAATAGTCTGGAGAAAGGAGGCTCTCAATAATCTTTGAATGATCATGGTGTTTTGGGGAGGTACCCGAGGACTGCTGAAGAAAAGCAAATGTCACTGCTATCTGCAAGAAGAACAAGAAAGAGGACCCAGGGAGCTTCCCTCAAGCCCCGAGACGCTGATGGAGCACCTAACCCTGGAGATAATTTCCAGGCACATGAAATACAAAAATGTTTCCAGAACTCACCAAGGGGAACTCACACTTTACTGAGTTGATAATGAACTTCTATGCTGAAATTATTTGCTTTGTAGATGAGGGGAGAGCAGGGTGTATTGTTTACCTGGCTTTAGGAAGGCTTTCCTTCCACACTGTCCTTCCAAATTAGGTTCTCCTAAGAGAAACTGATGAAGTCTCAACTGAATGAATAGATGGTGATCTGGACAGAACAGTGGACAGACAGAGGATCCCTAATTGTTGTGGTCAGTGGCATGAGGTCTAGTTGGAAGTCATTGTCTAGCAAGGCACCCCAGGGGTCAGTGTTGGGTCTCTTTTTAGCATCTTTAGCCATCTTTAGGAAGATGGAGATAAACATGAAAACCAGCAAATTCTTTAATGAAACAAGAGTAGTAGGAGGGGCTGCTACACAGCAGAGTTGTGCTGCCACCCAGAGGGGGGACCTCATAAGGCTGGAGAAATGGAACCTGAGGCAGCTCAAAAAGCTGTACTAATTTTCCTCACTTTTCAGTGGGATTTTTTTTTTTTTTACAGTGCTGCTGATGGCACAGGCAGGGGTATGCTTTAGCTGTTGCTCAATAGTGCTGACAGAACATCAAGGCCTTCTCTGATTTGTCCCAACAGTGAGTAGGCTCAGGATGGACAAGATGCTGAGAGGAGAAACAGCCAGGACGTGTGATGCCAAATTAGCAAAGGATTATTCCATACAGTAATAGATAATTTTCAGAAATAAGACTCAGAGAAAGAAGGAGGAAAGGGTCTTTTTGGAGTTATGGCATATGGCACCCGCAGTGCAGCCTCACAGTGTGAGGATAACCAAGCACCAGTGCAGGTTATCCAGGCCCCTTGTGGAGTCTCCATGCTTGGAGAAATTCACAAACAGTTTGGTTGTGGCCTGAGGGAAGTGGAGCCTGTGGAGAAGCCACGCTAGAGCAGGTTGATTCTGCAGGAACCATATCAGAAGTGTAGTAATTGACTCTACATGCCTTTCCCACTGGCCCTGTGCCTTTTGGACAGAAGAGGGAGAGAAACCAGGAATGCAGGATTGAAGGCAAACCTGAGATGAAGTGAGGCTTCAGCAAGGCAAATTTTTATGTCTTTTATGTCTTTTTATGTGTTTTAATGTCTTTTGATATTGTTGTCACTCACAATTCTACTCTGCTTTAATTTGGCAATATATTAGAATCCTGGCAGTGTGCAGCTAAAGCCAGGAACACCTGTCTTTGGTCTGCCTTCTTGTGAAAACACCTGAGACCCATCAGCTCCAGACTCCTGGTGACTCTGACCTTCCCTACATCTTACATACCCCATGCCAGGCCCCAGCAGGTTTGTGTTAAAACTCAGCTGGGTTTCCTGTCTCTGTGTGAATGGCACAGAAGTAGCGGGCAGAGTCACTGGGTTGCAGAGCCCTCAAAACCAGAGATGACTGAGACTGGTAATTATCCCGTGAGGCTGTGGCCCGACCCTTCACTGCTGCCCCGTAGTCCTTTACACTGCCATCAGAGTAGCTGATAAAGGACACCCACTCTGGGATGCCTCCAAGTGACTGACGGTACCAATAAATTCCATAATTCCTAAAGATGAATCCGGAGCCGTGGCAGGAGAGGGTGACGGAGTCCCCGGGCGCTCGCAGCCCTCCGCCGGCCTCCTGCAGCCTCGGCTGTGCCCAGAGCCCTGCGAAGGGAGAGCGCAGCAATCGGGCACGGCCGACCGCGGACCGAGGGCGCTGTCCCGGTGTCCCGGTGCCCCCGGGCCGGCACAGCCACAGCCGCCAGCCCCGGCCCACGGCCCTGTCCCTGTGTGTGTCCCGGCCTTTGCCCGTGTTCCCTGCCCCGCCCCTGCTCCTGCCCTTTCCCCAGCCTCCGCCCGTATTCCCGTCCCTGTTGGTGCTCCTGTCCCTGCCTGTGGCTGTCGCTGTCCCTGGCCGGGCTCGCTGCCCTGGCCGCCCGGCTCTCACCTGCCGGCCACAAGGCCAAGGCCAAGGCCAGCAGCCCCGGCCCCGGCGCGGCCACCATCGCTGCCGGCCCCGGCCCCGCTGCAGCCGCACGGGAGCCGAGCGGAGCCGCGCTCGGGCCGCTCCCGCCCGGCCCCGCCTCGCCGGGGCAGCGCCGGCGCCTCTGCCCGCCCCGACACACCCGCCCCGGGACCCGGGGTTGCTTGTGGGCAAAGTGTGGAAACGACTCCCTCCACTCCTACCCCCTTGTCCTACACCTCTTCCCTCCACACCGCAGAGCTCCCCGCTGCACCCCCCAAGCCCTGGATCGTTCTTCCCGCGTCGTGCGACCAAATCTTGCCGGTTTTTCCTGCTGGGCTGTAGGGCTGTCCTGTGGACGACTAGCGCTATGTCTGCTGTGACTTCCACTTGGGGGAAACAGCAGTGCGGCAGTGGGACATGGTGGTAGGGAGATGCTGGGGCTTTACAGACCTGCTTAAGCTCTCAGGAGCAAAGACTCCTTGTCATCCTTCCAAGGGTGGGAAATAATCCCAGAAACATTAGAGTCTGCAAATCAGAACTGCTGTGAATTTGCAACCCCCAACCTTCTCCACATTTTCCTGCCTGTATCCTTGTTGTCCCTGCCTGACTCACCTTCACCCCATGCTATGCTTCAGAGTCCTGTTACTCCTTTGGCATTCACCTGACTTGTGAACATAAATGCTGAGGGTTGATAAAGAGAAACCAGTCAAATTTCCAGGGTCTCTTTTTCTGTTGCTCTAGCCAGGACACAAGAAGGTGTCCCTCAGGTCCCAGCAGTATGGTGATGCCCAGTGTACTGCAGGTAAGGTTTCCTGGTGGGAAAACTTCTTGTGAGCAACAGGACCACCATGGCTCTGGGAGTTCTCCTCACAGAATAGGCTAAGCTGAGTTCTGCTTGGGCTCTGGGATGCCTAAACCAACTTGCCTTTGAGTTTCCAACTCTACCAAACAGTGAGCCCAATCCAGAGGAAACTCTCATCATGATCATCATCTTCATTTTTGTCTTCAATCAGTTTTCATTATCTGATATCTCAAGGCACCATATTAAATATACAGAATCTCTTGCCTCATGGACTGCAGTGCTGTTGGTTGCTTAGGTATTTCAAAGTTTTAGTAGCTTTTTTCTTCATTGGTATTTTTCAAAATAGCAAATTTCATGCTGGCTGGGTTGTGGGAGGATTTCATTATTTAACCATGAGCAGCACAGAGGAGGTTGCCCTGCCTATTGCTGAAGGCATTAAGGTAAAAGCTGCATTTGTCTTCTTTGGCTACTCTGCACAGAGAAGCAAGATGAGGTCTGTGGTCCATTGGGTTCTTGTGTCAAGGGCTAGGGCTTGCCAGGAGCAAAGCAGAGACATGGATCTCCTGGCTCTGCCACAGCTTGGTGAAGGCTTTGGACAGGATGCCCCAGCAACACTGGATTCTGCAGTGTCAGCTCCCTGGAAGTGCAGGTCAGGATTGATACTGCAATTGGACGTTATGTCCAGATATGTTGATTGTTTTCTTGAGGGATGTTCTGTATGAGGAAGTAAGAAAAATCATGTTTCAGCTCATCTGCAAAGAGTCCCATGGCCCTGCCTGTCTGAGTCACTGCTCTGAATACCTCTGCATAGATGGGACTTTGAGAAAAATAAGCAGGAGTTGGGAGGGATAGGAGAAGTTGGAAAGGCTGGTATAAGAGGGAGAGGATCATTTCAGGCATGAAAGCACAGCTGAGGCTGGAGGATGTAGAGCATCTGCCCTCCTGTGCTGTTGGTGACACAGATTTTGTACGAACGGAAATTTGCCTTAGCTTAAGGTGGAGCCTCAGAGTGCAGTAATAAATCGCAGTGTCCTGAAGAGACACTCCTGCTATTTCTAAGGGGGCTGTGTTATTTTTGTAGATCACCATAGAGAATCGGCCACTGCGGTACTTGTCATTCCCTGTGGTTTTATGTGCTTGCAGGAGAAATGTCAGAGTACTTCCCAGGAGCTGGCGGTACCAGATGAAGTTCATATTGGTGTCACTCTCCTTAGTGGTGGACTCACAAGGAAGAACCACTTGCTGTCCAACTTTGGCTAGCATCTCAGAGAAGAATTGCTTCGGGGGATCACCTCCAACAAGACCTGCAACAGAGGCATAAATGTGTCTGCAGAGAAGTTTGCTTTCTTCTCTCCATTGCTCTGTGTTTAAAACTGCCCCAATCTTTGCTGTCTTTCCAAAGAAATGGAAAGTTCAGGTATCTACATCCATCCCCCTTCTATATTTCTCCCTGAGCTCATGCTCTTGTTGGTAGACACCTCCAAATAACTTATTAAAAACCATGAGAGACAACAAGAAGGATGTGAATACACCCACCTGATTGGATTAGCAGGACACACGCTGGCATAGCCATGGTGAAGATCATTTTCTCCCAGCTCAGGATTCCTTTTCCTTCACAAGACTCTCAGCACACAGCAGAACACTCTTGGTAGCACAATGAAAAGGCACCACCCTGCAGAGAGAGTGCAGTGCATGTGTGACACAGTCACACCTTTGCAGTGTGGAAGGCTCATACACCTTTTTGGAAGGAGGCTCATACACCTTTTGCCTTTTCTTGTCTCACAGCCAAGAGTGGACAGTCTCAGTGGCTTCCTGTAGTTTTCCTTGGGCTTCCTTCTCCGTTCACAGCATTTACTGTGCGAGGTAACGTCTCTGCCTCACTGCAGAGTGTGTTTGCTTTTGCGTGCTCCTTGATGGCTGGCAGGCTTCTGAAAGCACAACAGCTCCTCAGAGCGTCCTCAGATCATTCAGGGCTCTGGGAAACACAGGTGTCATGCTCTTTTCAAAGAGTTTTGGGTTCCTCTTAGTTTAGCCTCTGATATTTTGAGAGCAGTTGTTCAGTGTTTCTCCACACTGAATGACTCAGGAGACGACAGAGGAATTTGATTGGTGGGGAAAGGGTGTTTTAATGGGTGAACACATAAATTTCTAAAATAGGGTGGTGGAGTCCTGGTTCCAATGGGTTGACTTAGTGCACGCTGGGGGAGAGCAAACTGAGGGCATGGTGAAGGAGGAGGAATCTGCAGCCCCATCCTGTGCAAGGCGTAAGGGCAGGACTTGGAGCTTTCCAGCCACTGTTGGCACAGTGAAAAGGAAAGGGACTGAGATGGGGACAGAGACAGGAGGCAAAACTCTGGTGTGTGGATCTGGTGAGCAGAGAAGTGCCAAAGAGCAGCTCCTGGGCAGCACCTCTCTCCCTCTCCCACCTTCTGGCAAATCCCGAGCTTTTGCTCTTTCTCAATTTGGTGCATACTCTGACTAAAATAGAGAGATCTTCACTGCTGGCCATCTGATTCTGCAGCAATGTACTTTTTATCAGCCAAGGCTGCAAGGTGAGGGTGGCCCTGTAAATCAAAGACCCTCACTGAAGTCTGCCCAGGTGGTGAACATCCCCTGGCCAAAGCAGCCTCTGTTCTTTGAGCACCCAGCGATGCCCAGAAGGTGCCCAGGCTCACTGGTCCCTGATGACACACAGGACCAGTGATTTCAGTGCAAAGTGCAGATGTTTGTGACAGACTGCCCAGCCGATATGAGCACTTTGAAAGCTACATTGGGAAGGTGCTGGTGCCTGTGGGAGGGCAGTAAGGTACTCATGTTTCCCCCTTTGGACATAAGGGCTGTGTCCTGCAGCCAGGGAGGAACAACCCCATGCAGCAGTATGTGCTGGGAGCTGCCCAGATTTGCAGAAATAGCCTGGAGAGTTCTGCTGGATACCATGCTGACAATGAGCCAGTAATGCTCCCTCGCCTCCAAGAAGGAACTCATGAGGCAAACCCTATCCTTCTGTACTCTCTAGCACTTGGGACAAAAGCTGTGTCTTGTGCTGGTGAGGAACAGAGACAAGACTTCCAGCTATGGGATTGCACTCCAAATACTCTCAGACCAAATTAAGCTAAGAATCCAAACTGTTATGAAGACATCCTTGTTGGGGCCTGAAATCACCAGGAAAACTGAGCTTTGTAGGTGCAGGATAGAGATGCAGCAGGTTGCATTTCAGTGCCTCTGCTGTGGGCAGATCTCTGGCAGGTTTGATCTGTTCAGCTACACTCAATCTCCTTGTGGTCCTGGCTGCTTTGTGGAGCTTGTGGGCAGAGCAGCAGAGGGAGTCCCTGCTGTGAGCAGCACATTCCCTTGTGAGGAGGGACACACAAACACCCACATGCTCATGTGACTCACATCACTCATGCAAAAATCTGCACCCAAAACCACTTGCAGAAATCCAGCATGCAGAGAGTCCAGGTGAGAGAGCACATGCAGGAACATGCCAAACTGTGCACTCAACTGGGGACACCCTGGGGGCAGCCCCATCAGGGGTGCTGGAGCATTCTGGAGAAGGGCAAAGCCCCAGGTGGGCTAATGGTGTTGTTTAAAGACTGCACAGAGGGGAGGTGAATTGGGAGCTTTGAAGAAAACTTTGTATTCAACGAGTCAATGATCATGGGTGGTACATGTTGTCTCTGTTGGGCTTTGCACTAAAGATTTGGGAAGCCCCTGCAGTGCTCTATGCCAGCCTGTGTGTGGGCATCGTGGCAGAAATAACCTTACAGCATGTAAGGAGAAAATGTGTTTGTTTGTTTGTGGGTTGTTTTTGTTATACAGAATATAAACCACCAGGGTGTGGGAGGGAAGCAGAAGCTGTTTCTGGTTGGGGTCTGTGAGAGTGTCTTTGGAAATCCACCAGGGTCTGTATAATGCTGTATGAATGCAGGATTCCTAGCATTTGAAAGAATGCAAGGTTTCATTCCTATCTATACTCCCGGTTTTATTCTGTGTTACTAATACAGCCCCTTTAGACATTTGCAACCAGACCTTTGTTTCTAAGATCAGGGAGGAACCCGGCACCCCTTCTTGCCCCATGACACCTCCCTAATACAGAAGAGGAAGAGACAAAACAAGCCAGCAGAATTGTCCTGATACAGTGTTAGGTGGGATACGGCCAAACCCAGGAATAAGCCACTTCTTGCCAACAGGGCCATAATGACTCCAAAGGAGTGGCCCAGACTGACATAATTTGCCTGTTCTGGACTTGTCCAGCAGATGATCTGAGTCCTCTGCCCACACTGATGTTTTTTGATGCTTGGGCTTCTTATCCTGTCACATTAAAAAAAAAAAAAAAAAAGTCTTAATGCAGGAAGCCAAACCCCAGTCCATGGTATCAGATGGAATGTTGTGCATTCAAGATGAATTGTTCAGAAAATGATCACCTCCACAAGCTGCAGGCGCCGGGGCAGGTGCCAATGTCAATGTTAGCGTCGGTGCCGGTCCGGGTCCCGTTGCCGGTGCCGGTCCCGGTCCTGCTCCCATTGCCGGTGCCAGCAGCGCCCCGGCGGGCGGAGCGGCAGCGCCCAGAGATCTCCTGAGGTGACTGCAAGAGGCTGAGAGAAGAGAGGCAGAGGGAGAAGGATTGAAGGTGAGGAAAAGAGAAAATATTTTCAGGTTTCTCTCTGTTCCCTTTCCCTTTACAAATCGAATAGCTCCTTCAGGAAACACTTGTAAAACCACAGATATAAGCACTTGTAAAACCACAGACAGAAGCAGATTTTTCTTAGTCTTATCCCTTCATTCACTGGCATTTCCCCCACGGTCCTGATTAGGCTTTTGAGGATTTCATGAGGAGAAGGGATCAGTCATGACCTCCTGATGTGACAGCACTGCATGAATCAGCCCCTGTGTGCCTGTCAGTGCAGCTGCTTGGTCAGCTCCCAGCCCAGTGCTGTCAAGGAGCAGCTCTTTGCTTCGCGAAGCGGGCTGAGAGCAGCAGCAGCCGCGGCCGGAGGGCGAGAGGCGCCGGCAGAGGCGCAGCCCGCAGCAGTTTGGTGCCGGGCAGAGGCGGGCTGGGGAGCGAGGGGAGGCCGGGCTGTGTGTGGCGAGTGTGCAGCGCAGCTGCAGGCGGGTTGTGAGGGGCGCTGTGGCCGTGCGGGGCTGTGCGGTGCCGGTGCGTGCGGGCTCGGGGCAGAGGAAGGAGCTGCGGAGCCCCGGGAGCCCGGCGGGCGGAGCGGCAGCGCCCCCTGCTGGCCCCGCCCGGCCCCGCCCGCGGCGGTTCGTGCCCGGCCGCAGCCCCGGCTCCTCTGCCCGTGGCCCCCAGCGCGCAGTAATACACGGCCGCGTCCCCGCGCCGGGGCCGGCCGAGCCACAGCGCGCTCGAACGCCGATCTGCCGACACCGTCAGACTCCCCTCTGGCTCCAGCACGGGTTTTGTGCCTAGGACAGCCGTTGCTATCAGCTGGGGTGCTTGGTGTGGGAATTGGCGATACCAATTAGTGGAGTCGGCAGCAATTTTGGGGTGCTGGCAAGTGAGGTTCAGGCTGGTGCCCTCGGTGGTCTCTGCCCATGGCCTCTGCTGGACTTGGTCTGTGTCTGCAGCCACGGCTGGGAAAGGAGGAAGAAAGACCAAACATCATCCAAACCGTGTGATTCTGAGATTTCTTTCACCAGACGGAGTGAGGATCAGTGGCCACAAGGCAGAGGCAGACTGGAAAAAAATGTGAGGAATTCGAAATTCATGCATGCACAGAATATGCAGAAGTCAGGTCTGCACATGCAAGGATGGATGGAGAAATGAAGAGTTTAAGTGAAGAACACAATGCTGCATTCAGGGCAAAAATAAATGCTGGATGTACAGGACAAGGTATAGGTGCATGGAAAAGCAGGAATACATGCAAGCAGGCTTTACTAACGCAAATTATGAAGACTTGCTGGGATGACAGATGGCAGAGGGACCGGGAGAGACAAGGAGCTGAGGAAGAGAGGGAAACATCCGAGCCAGTCTCCCTAGGGAATGCTCCAGCGGCTGCCCTCTTGGTGCCAAAACCGAACGCACCGATGAGCAGCGCGGCCAGCGCCGCCAGCCCCGCGCCCCGACACCGCCGCATGCCGCCGCTCCGCCGGCCGAGCCTCGCTGTGCCCCTGAGCCCCGGCTCTGCTGCGGCCGTGCCGCCTCCTCTCCGCCGCCGGTGCCAGCTCCGCCCCGGGGCTGAGCCCTGCGCCGCTGCCGCTCGGGCTCTCGCCGAGTCCTGCCGGGGAACGGAGGGCAGGCGAGCGCGGGGGCTGCGGGGCGGCGCTCGGCTCTCTGCACGTCGGAAGCGGCGGCGCCGGGCTGGGGGGCAGGGGATCGGGCTGGGATCATGGAGCTCGAGATTGACAGTGCCTGCGTTTCCTTCGCTCCCATAACCTGTTCCCTCCCATCCTCCCTTTGCTGTCATGTGGGGACTCCTGAATTGTCCTATGGCAGAAGGAGAAGTGTCTGTGCCTGGGTCTCCTTTGGAAATGTGTGTGCACACACTTCTTCATCAATGCAGAGCTATGAGTTACTTTTTGGGTGTGTGCAAGCTCCAGAGTGCGTTTGTGGTACCGTGAACTCGTGCATGTGCAGTAGGAGTCCTTTAATTACTTCTTCTGCTACTCTGGGTGTTGCTTTATTCCCAAAAAGGCGTCAGGGAGGCTCAGGGATGTGATGGAAGTGAGGAGAAGCAAAGGAGTTAAACCGAGGGCTAGCAGGCAAGGAGTGTATCGGCCTTTTCTCTGTCGTTTGTCAGCTGGCCCCATTCCTCACCGAGCAGTCTCCTGAGCCTTCCTTTGGCTGCCAGTGGGATCAGAAATTCCTTTCCTGATTGCTTTGACCGCTGCTGAAATGTTCCGTTGCAGCAGAATTGTTCTGTGCGCCGTGCAGGACAGCATCCTTGTGCCCGGAGGGGTCTCTCGCAGGAGGCCAGGCCGTGTGCCGGGCCCGTGGTTGCTCCCGGTCGGGCTCCCGCGGGTTCCACGCGCGGCTCGGTCCTGCCCCGCCGAGCGGCGTCAACCGGGAGCGGCAGCGCCCCCTGCTGGCCCCGCCCGGCCCCGCCCGCGGCGGTTCGTGCCCGGCCGCAGCCCCGGCTCCTCTGCCCGTGGCCCCCAGCGCGCAGTAATACACGGCCGCGTCCCCGCGCCGGGGCCGGCCGAGCCACAGCGCGCTCGAACGCCCGTCCTCCGACACCCTCAGCTGTCCTGCAATGGCCGGCACAGCCTTGGAGCCTCTGGCAGTGAGGGCGAGGAATTCGAGGCTTTGTCCCGGCATCTGACGGTAGAAATGGATGTAATCGATGTTGCGTTTGCTGGAGTGTGAGCAGGTGATGTTGATGCCGGTGCCCTCGGTGGTCTCCAGGAATGGCTCCTGCTGCACCTGGGCTCTGCCTGTAGCCACTGCCGGGGACAGAAATGCATGAACTTTAAATTCTACATTGCCCCACTCCACAGTATGAATCCCGCAGAAACAGTCAGGAATGTATAGAGATGATGAGCAAAACAGTAAGGAGGCGATTTCAAGATAAGCAGGAATGGAAATGTCCATTACGCCTTTGTGGAGAAATGAATGAGTGAATGACAGGAAGAACAGTGCAGTCAGTGGAGAATGGAATGATGTGAGAGAAAGCACAAATATACAAGAAGAAAATGTAGAAGGAGCAAGGACTTAGTTCACAAATAATAAAGAATGAGAGGAATGGAATGCTTGTGCATGGTTGGACATAGAATAGAATCAGGAGATTTTTGAGGGACTATGGGATGGAGAAGAGAAAGGGATAAACAAGAGAACAGCTCCCGGAGAGAGGTGTGTGAAGAAGCCATGCAGGACAGCAGCCTCCGGGGACCTGCGGGATCACCCCAGCCGAGAAAGCTGCCTCTTCGGCACCTCCACGCACCGATGAGCAGCGCGGCCAGCGCCGCCAGCCCCGCGCCCCGACACCGCCGCATGCCGCCGCTCCGCCGGCCGAGCCTCGCTGTGCCCCTGAGCCCCGGCTCTGCTGCGGCCGTGCCGCCTCCTCTCCGCCGCCGATGCCAGCTCCGCCCCGGGGCTGAGCCCTGCGCCGCTGCCGCTCGGGCTCTCGCCGAGTCCTGCCGGGGAACGGAGGGCAGGCGAGCGCGGGGGCTGCGGGGCGGCGCTCGGCTCTCTGCACGTCGGAAGCGGCGGCGCCGGGCTGGGGGGCAGGGGATCGGGCTGGGATCATGGAGCTCGAGATTGACAGTGCCTGCGTTTCCTTCGCTCCCATAACCTGTTCCCTCCCATCCTCCCTTTGCTGTCATGTGGGGACTCCTGAATTGTCCTTCAGGGCACTGGAAAGAAATCCACACACACGCCTTTCTCTGTGTCCACGAAACCAATCTGATGCAGCTCAGAGTAGAGCAGCTGTGCACTGGCCGGGAGAGACGTATGTCTGTGTGTCCATGCACCAGTCTGTCTGTGTGTCTATGTGTTCCTGTATCCATCTGTCTCTGTGCCCGTGTGTCCATCCATGTGTCTGTACATGCATGCGTCCTTGCATCTGTGTGTCCCTGTGTCCATGTGTCTGTGTGTCCCTATATCCGTGTGTCTATGTGTTCGTGTGTCTGTGTCCGTGTGTCTGTGTGTGTGTGAACACTCCCAGCTGTGCTGTCCACTCCCAGCAATTCAAACTGAATTAAACTAAAAATACAAACTTGGGTGAAACCATCCTTGTTGGGGCTGGCAATTGGCAGATGCAGAGTGTGTAGTTTAGAG